ACCAGAGGAGAGGAGTGCACTTCTGATGAGCACCAGATGTTGTACGAAGTGCTGAATCACTATATTATATACCAGAATCTAATACCTGGAATTAAAATAAAAACTTAAAAAAGAATTTGTAGTGTTTCTGAAAATGGATGTGAAAATAGAGATCAAAACAGAAAAAAAGAAAACCACAGTAAAGAAACTTGGCATTACTGCAAGTAAATGTATGATTTCCATTATTTCAATACTGAAACTAGTCAATGATATTCTCAACCCAACTCATCCACAGGTATTATCCCTGAAGTTTCCCCAAGGACTTGCCAATGTCTACACTAATCTAAAATTATTTTCCTCTTATATTCTTTTTTTTTTTTTTTAGATTTTATTTATTTATTCATCAGAGAGAGAGGCAGACACACAGGCAGAGGAGAAGCAGGCTCCTTGTGGGTAGCCCAATGTGGGACTCAATCCCAGGACCCTAGGATCATGGCCTGAGCCAAAGGCAGATGCTCAACTGCTGAGAAACCCAGGCGTCCCTCCTCTTATATTCTTTTTGTTTCCCTCCTCTTATATTCTTAAACTTATTAAACCTAGTATTTCACTAGAATGTACTCTAAAGTAATTTTACCTCAAAAATGGTCACCTTAATGACAATTACATGCAGAAACTGGTTTTTAGTTACAAAGCATGTATGAAATAATAAATTATGCCGATAATTAACTAAAACATGGAAAGTTCAGAGTATTTTATATGAATCAATGAGTAGCATTACTTCCTTAATAACCTCTGTGTAAGCAGTGAAAAACAATGGGCAATTCCTATCTCTTAGCTTTGATGAGAAAGATCAAGTTTACATTCGTGTGCCTTTGATTAAGAAGTGATCTTATCCAGGGGCTCCTGGGTAGCTCAGTCAATTAAGAGTCAACACTTGGTTTTGCCTCAAGTCATGATATCAGGGTCCTGAGATCAAGCTCCGAGTCAGGTTCCACACTCAGCGAGGAACCTGCTTGAGATTTTCCCTCTGCCTGCCCCCCTGCTCAAGTGCATACTCTCTCTAAATAAATAAATAAAATCTTTTTTATTTTCTTTTAAAAAAGTAATCTTGTCCAAACTGGGAAGACCACTTCTGCAGTGGTGACTCTGCAGGTTGGAGAGGTAAATAGGAACAGAATAGAATGTGTTGAGATCAGCATATCAATTCTCACGTCCTACACATCAAGAAGGGCCAAACACAAAACCTGAATTCTTGACAGGAATTGAAACATAGACCAGCAAAACATTTTGCAACAGAGATTTACTGTACTTTTACTATTAGAAGAATAAAGACACTGGAACATCCCAAGTAATGAGCGAATGACTCATGTGGAAAGCTTAATGCCCTTTAAAAATATATACACATATATAATATATATAAATATTTATACATGTACATAAAATACATATTTACATGTACTTTTAATCTTAAAATGTTTTGAGATAACAAGTTTTCCTAAAACAAGGTCCTCAGATTGCTCATTTCCTAGGAAACAGGGCTAGCTCATTTACCTTCATCCCATTAAAATCAGGACATGCCACTGGCAATCCAGCCTCCTAAATTCCTACACTGAAACACTGAGCTGTGTGGCCGCGGGAAAATTACAGATTCCCTCCCAGCTCAAAGTGTGTGACTCTAAGATGTAGAAAGAAACCAAGAGCTTGATGATTCTCACAAGGTCTAGGATTCCCACAGCAAGACCAAGTAATACTTCCCGTAACCCATTCTTTCCATCCAGTGCCTCAACCATCATAACGTTGTAATTATTTTTTAAATGACCACAAATTACACAAAATACTTGATATCCTCCTCAAGAATATAATCGGTCCTGGGGCAGCCCGGGTGGCTCAGCGTTTTAGCGCCTGCCTTCGGCCCAGGGCATGACCCTGGAGACCCCAGATCGAGTCCCACGTCAGGCTCCCTGCATGGAGCCTGCTTCTCCCTCTGCCTGTGTTTCTGCCTCTCTGTGTGTGTCTCTCATGAATAAATAAATAAAGAAAACCATAGCTGGGGGCATCACAATGCCAGATTTCAGGTGTACTACAAAGCTGTGGTCATCAAGACAGTGTGGTACTGGCACAAACAGACACATAGATCAATGGAACAGAATAGAGAACCCAGAAGTGGACCCTCAACTTTATGGTCAACTAATATTCAACAAAGGAGGAAAGACGATCCACTGGAAAAAAGACAGTCTCTTCAATAAATGGTGCTGGGAAGATTGGACAGCCACATGCAGAAGAATGAAGATGAACCATTCTCTTACACCATACACAAAGATAAACTCAAAATGGATGAACTCAAAATGGATGAAAAATCTAAATGTGAGACAAGATTCCATCAAAATCCAAGAGAACACAGGCAACAGGCTTTTTGAACTTGGCCACAGTAACTTCTTGCAAGATACATCCATGAAGGCAAGATAAACAAAAGCAAAAATGAACTATTGGGACTTCATCAAAGTAAGAAGCTTTTGCACAGCAAAAGAAACCGTCAACAAAACTAAAAGACAACCTACAGAATGGGAGAAGATATTTGCAAATGATGTATCAGATAAAGGGCTGGTATCCAAGATCTATAAAGAACTTATTAAACTCAACAGCAAAGAAACAATCCAATCATGAAATGGGCAAAGACATAAACAGAAATCTCACAGAGGAAGACACAGACATGGCTAACACGCACATGAGAAAATGCTCTGCATCACTTGCCATCAAGGAAATACAAATCAAAACCACAATGAGGGATCCCTGGGTGGCGAAGCGGTTTAGCGCCTGCCTTTGGCCCAGGGTGCAATCCTGGAGACCCAGGATGGAATCCCATGTCGGGCTCCCGGTGCATGGAGCCTGCTTCTCCCTCTGCCTGTGTCTCTGCCTCTCTCTCTCTCTCTCTCTGTGACTATCATAAATAAAAAATAAAATAAAAATAAAATAAAATAAAACCACAATGAGATACCACCTCACACCAGTGAGAATGGGGAAAATTAACAAGGCAGGAAACCACAAATGTTGGAGAGGATGCGGAGAAAAGGGAACCCTCTTGCACTGTTGGTGGGAATGTGAACTGGTGCAGCCACTCTGGAAAACTGTGTGGAGGTTCCTCAAAGAATTAAAAAAAAAAAAAAAGATCTGCCCTAAGACCCAGCAATTGCATCTTTGGGGATTTACCCCAAAGATACATACAGATGCAGTGAAAGACCGAGACACCTGCACCCCGATGTTTATAGCGGCAAAGTCCACAATAGCCAAACTGTGGAAGGAGCCTCGGTGTCCATCGAAAGATGAATGGATAGAGAAGATGTGGTTTATGTACACAATGGAATATTCCTCAGCCATTAGAAACGACAAATACCCACCATTTGCTTCAACGTGGATGGAACTGGAGTTCTATTATGCTGAGTGAAGTAAGTCAATCGGAGAAGGACAAACATTGTATGTTCTCATTCATTTGGGGAATATAAATAATAGTGAAAGGGAATAGAAGGGAAGGGAGAAGAAATGGGTAGGAAATATCAGAAAGGGAGACAGAACATGAAGACTCCTAACTCTGGGAAACGAACTAGGGGTGGTGGAAGGGGAGGAGGGCGGGGGGTGAGAGTGACTGGGTGACAGGCACTGAGGGGGGCACTTGATGGGATGAGCACTGGGTGCTATGCTATATGTTAGCAAATTGAATTCCAATAAAATTTAAAAATTAAAAATAAATAAATAAAATCATATATATATATAAATTGGTCCTTAACTGAACAGCTAGAGCACAATAAGCAGTCATTGGTGACTGCTTCTCCCTTACCCTGCTAAAGATAATGGTAATTTTTTTTTACATATTCCTACGGGAAAGTAATTACCAAGTGACTTTTACTCCTGAAAACACATTAGATACTTGTAATCATTGCTCCTAAATAACGCACTTAAAGTGCCATCCTAAAACTGACTGGTGTGGGCAGTCCATTATGGGAATGGTTGAATGGTTGAGGTTTTGGCACCTACACCTTTTCACCGTTACTCATTCATTTCAAACCACCACTAATTTACTTTTAAAAGGAAAGAAAGGAAAGAAAGAAAGAAAGAAAAGAAAAGAAAAGAAAAGAAAAGAAAAGAAAAGAAAAGAAAAGTCTTAATCCGTAGCAGTAAGGAATAGATTCCTTCAAAAGTGAAGCAGCATTGGGTCCTACGAATCAAAGGAACCTCTGCATTATTATTAAGGATTAAAAAAGTGGAAAAGAACACTCCTTTTTGTATTTAAAAAAAAAAAACACATTATGACACGCAGCAGAAAACAAGAAAACCATGAGAACGTACGGGAAAATACAGCAGAAATACCCCCAAGATTTTGAGAAGTTGTCCTTGATGTGAAGACTAAGGAAGGAGGGGAGGGGGGAGTATTTTCTTTTTCTTTTTTTCTTTTTTCTTTTTTTTTTTTTACAATAATCTATCCATTTTTATAACAGAGTGGAAAAAAAATCTATAGGGCTTAAATAGTTGATTAGTAAAACCTGTAGGGTATCCCTGCACTAAAAATCACGAAGATCCTGGGGATCCCTGGGTGGCGCAGCGGTTTGGCGCCTACCTTTGGCCCAGGGCGCGATCCTGGAGACCCGGGATCGAATCCCACGTCGGGCTCCCGGTGCATGGAGCCTGCTTCTCCCTCTGCCTGTGTCTCTGCCCTTCTCTCTCTCTCTCTATCATAAATAAAATTAAAAAAAAAAAAATCCTAACGCCAGGGAAGACACGACGATAAGCACCGTTTTGTGAACCTCGGAACCCTCACGAGGGGAGCCTCCTCGGCGGACGATCCTAAAGAGCCCACAGAAGCAAAGGCCGGCCCGTCCCGGCGGCTCACCATACCGCACCAGAATCCCACTTATGACAGAACCTCAGACAATCCCAACGGCGCTAAGCCTCCGGCGGTGGCCCCGCCCCACGCGAACGCTCCGCGGCCCCACAGGATGCACCGGACTGTCCCTCTTCGAGCCCCTTACACGTAATCGCTACTCGCTGAGGAGTAGGAACCCGAGGAGCTGACCCGGTCTTCACGATCGCAATCCTCATCTTCTTGGGAAGACGGGTCTTCAGGGAACTCATCCGGGCTGCGACGCGAGCCACACGAAACCGGAGACGCCATCCTCAGGCGTGCAAGAGCTGCAAGCCGCGTGGTTCAAACCTCGCAGCTCCGGCTCGCCGTAGCCGCCATGTTGTCTCCGCGAGGCGGGCGGGCGGGGGAGGGGCCACGTGACCGCCCATCCTCGGCTGCAATTGGTGGCCGCTCGGGTTGCCAGGGCGACGAGGAAGCTTTCCTGGAGCGCGCGAGAACTACCGAAAGAGGCCTGCGAGGTGAAATTTCCAGGGGGGGGGGGCGTCTCAGTCGGAAGAATTTAAGTGATTGAAGCTTCACCGCGTAGGGTCTCCTAAAGGCACTTTTGGAGCTGCATAATGTAGTAACAGCGGAGACCCACTGGGCTGCTGGTGGTGGTGGTGGTGGTGGTGGTGGTGGTTTTCCCCTTTTTTCTTACAGTTTGCACTTTACCCTGTGTTTCTATGCGCAACAGGTGCCCAAAGCCGTAGAGGCACTCAGCCTGGGGTTTTCTTGAGGTAAAGGTAAAATCTATAGGACTGGGGCAGCCCCGGTGGCTCAGCGGTTTAGCGCCGCCTTCAGCCCAGGACGTGACCCTGGAGACCCTGGTTCGAGCCCCGCGTCGGGCTCCCTGCATGGGGCCTGCTCCTCGCTCTGTCTGTGTCTCTCTGCGTCTCCAATAAATAAATAAGAAATTAAAAAAAAAAAAAGTTAACTCCTCTCTCCCTTTCCTCTGGGCCTCGGCTTTTGAGCAACGCCCTCCAGATGTTAACGTAAACGCGCTCCATTGTTTCTTTGCTTTTCACACTCTTTTGGCAACTGCAAACATTTTTTTATAGTTTTCCCAAGCAGACATTCTAGAGTGCTTCAAATGGGTGGCAGTGTTGTGAAATCACCTGCAGGTTCGTTTTGCAGCGCAAACTTATGATTTGAGGAAGTGTCCTCATCCTGGAGTTGGAAATGTACACTGATCGATTTTATCGGTGATTTGCGAATACCTACATCAAGCATTTTTTTTCCCTGAATACAAAATGATTTGAGAGTCGGCCATTTCTCAAAGTACTTGTTCTATCCATACACTATGCTCAGTATTCACATACTGTGAAACAAATATCCTTATACTAAAACAAAGAAACTGAAGCATTAGTCATCTTCATGGTCAATCGACGACAAGGCAACAAAGAAAAATTGAACCTAAGTCATTAACTGCTAGATTATGTTTCCTCCTCGGGATTCAGGAATTCAACTATTATAGGTCTATTCTAAGAAAATAAAGGACGCAAAAAAAATTCTGAAATTTGTGAAAGTGGAAGGAGGAAACAATCTAAATGTTCAACAGGGAAAGGTTAAATAATGACATGAAATATGAATATTATGCTGATACACGTTTTCAAAAAGTAACGCATGGGGGATATACTCATGGTATAGCAAGTAAAAAATGATATAATTATGATCTCAATGAAGAGGTGCTGGAGATTCAACTTAAACTACATGGGTATTTTATGACATAGTGGTAAGTATAATGAAACATGCAGAGTTCTAAGGAATACCCAAGGGAAAACAGACTGGGGTGTAGAGGGCCACAGCAAATTTCTTAGAGGAAGTCTAAACTTCTCTTGTTATTTTGGAGTACCGCGTTTCAAAAGGTAGTGGGAAATGAGTCCTGCCATGGCCCAAAGTGGTTATATACATGGAGAATTCTAAAGAACCTGATCAGTAGCAGGCTAATAGTATTTAAACTTTCAAGATGCAATTTAGTTCCATTTGTCTCATTAAACCACGTACATTTGAATATCCTAAGTTTTTTTGTTGTATAATTTCTAAATGTACTTTTCTAAATATACCAGCTATTGAATATTCTTTTGCACTTTAATTCAAATTAATTTTTTAAAAAGATGTTTATTTATCTATTCATGAAAGACACACAGAGGGAGAGGGAGAGACACAGGCAGAGGGAGAAGCAGGCTCCATTCAGGGAGTCCAATGTGGGACTCCATCCCAGGACTCTAGGATCATGACCTGGGCTGAAGGCAGCGCTAAACTGCTGAGCCACCCAGGGATCCTCTCAAATTTATAATTTTTTTTAAATTTTATTTATTCATGAGACAGAGAGAGAGAGAGAGAGAGAGAGAGAGAGAGAGGCAGAGACACAGGCTCCCTGCAGGGAGCCGGTGGATCTCAATCCCTGGTCTCCAGGAGCAGGCCCTGGGCTGAAGGCGGGGCTAAACCCCTGAGCCACCCGGGGTTCCCTATAAAATGGTTTTTATCTTATAGAAGAGCTATAGAGCACAGAGCTTATACCTGTTTATTTAAAATTATAATTTTAAAAAGTTTAAGTCATCCCCGGAAATTCACAACAGGGATTTTTTTTTTCCCTTAAAAAAGGTCTATATATTGCTCAGATTGGAGAACTAGTTCATAAAGGGATAATGGGGCAAAGGAGGTTCTTGAGGTGGCAAGAGAAGATAGCATCTAAGGCACAGATGGAGGGATATGATCTTGCTGACGTGACTTCCTTAAAACTGATTCCTAAAGAAGGGCACAAGTGTGGATGCTGATTTGCCAGTTTTAGTCAGGAAGCTGAGATACTCTCTATGTAATGGTGTTTATTTTCTCAGGTAAATAGAAGTCAACCTTGCCAGCTGAAAAAGATAAAGGAAGTAATGGGGTTAGAAGTTTGAAGAGAATGGATCCAGGAAGGAAGGGGAAACAAGTATTTTTATCAGCACTGAGACCCTCAAAAAATGTTTTAAAATGAGAGAAACAACATTATTTTTAAAAGTTGGAATCATTAAAACATACATATTTCTTCTCACCACAATATCAAATGTTAAAAATTACTTAAGATTCCATTCCAAAATTAAAAAATGCTTGGGGTACCTGGCTGGCTCAGTTGGGAAAACATGTGACTTTTGATCTCGGGGTTGTGAGTTAGAGCCCCATATTGGGTGTAGTGATTACATAAGTAAATAAACTTTTAAAAAATGCTTTAGGCAGCTATCTAATAAGTTGCACTTATTTTAAAAGCATCTTATTGGAAGTTTAAAAAAAGGACATTTAAAATTTTAACACAAAAACATATTTTCTTCATATAAATGACACTGTAAATTAAGAAACAAAACAGGTGAACATAGAAGAAGGGAAGGAAAAATAAAATAAGATAAAAACAGAAGGAGGAAAATCATAAGAGACTCTTAACTATAGGAAACAAACTGAGGGTTGCTGGAGGGAAGGGGGAAGATGGGTTAGTTGGAATTGAGTGATGGGCATTGATGAGGGAGGGCACTTGATGTCATGAGCACTGAGTGTTATATGCAACTGATGAATCACTAAATTCTGCCTCTGAAGCTAATGATGAATCACTAAATTCTGCCTCTGATGCTAATAACACACTATGCATTAACTAAATTGAATTTAAATAAAAAATTTTAAAAATAACACTTTTTTCCTCTATAAACATCTAATAATTTCATACCTTGCTCATAAACCTTCAATGCCACCCCATCAGAGAATAAAAGTCCAAACTGCATAGTCTCTTAAAAAAAAAAAATCCAATTCTACAAGCAATTGAGCACCAATGAGGAATTAGATGCCTTATTTCCTGCATTAATCAAGTTAATCAAATGTGCCCAACCTGTCAGATCAAAAGATCCCCTGGGGTTCATGTTAAACTGAGAGATTTTAAGGCCTTCCCCCACTTCAACAGGATCAGAATATCCAGGGAAGCTGACCTGGAAATCTCAATTTTAAACACATTCCACTGCCCCTCAGTGATCCCTAAAGTTAAGGTAAATTTGGGAAACACTGCCCTAGGCCTTCCCTCACTTCTAATATCATACCTGCAGGCCCACTGACCATTTACCTAACAGGCTAAATCCATTCCCATCTTTTGACTTTGAGCCTGGCAGGCAGACCTCTCCCTGCTCCAGAACCTACCATCTACATAATCTTGAGCAAATCAACCTCTCCAAGCTGCATTTATCTATGGATTCAGATAGTGGTACATACTTCATAGGACTGTTTGAAGTCCAATAAGTTAATGCATGTAAAATACCTAGCACATAAACTATCAATAAAACTTAAAAGCTATCTTACAAATCATTTACTTACATAGTTCTTTCATTGCGGAATGCTACTTATCCAAATTACTACATTTTCCTTCAAGATTCAGTTCTATGAGTACCCTTTTAAAGAAGACTCCTACACTCTTTCCCTATCTCAGTGACAATTCCTCTTTCCACCTTCCCCTCATAATATATATAATAAAATTCTGTTACAAGTACCAGTCTGCTTAGTATCTAAATTATTTAGGAATGTGTCTATCTTTGCTACCAAATGACAGATTCCTGGATGATATGACTGGATCTTTTTTGTTGTTGTTTTTCAATCTTTCATCTACACAAGGTTGAATAGGAACAGGAAGTGCCACATTAAAGTATCTCTTTTTTTTTTATTAAAGATTTTATTTATTCATGAGAGACAGAGAGAGAGAGAGAGGCAGAGACACAGGCAGAGGGAGGAGCAGACTCCATGCAGGGAGCCTGATGTGAGACTTGATCCCAGGTCTCCAGGATCACAGCCTGGGCTGAAGGCGGCGCTAAACCACTGAGCCACCCAGGCTGCCCTAAAGTATCTTTTAAGAAATATTCTTCACACTAGATATGTCTCTGAGTTATGTTAACTTTGTTGGCTAGTCTATTTCCATATGTTAGTTTAATAGACAAAAGGTTACTACTTTGCTTGATCTTCCACAAAAGAAGAGATAATAGCAATCACTTTATATTCTTATTTAAATTTTCAGGGTGTATATTAACTAATCATATTTCTAATTTTATATATCATATTTGTACTAAATCAATATCTAACAGGCTTAGATATACTGGAGGGGATGAAGAACAGAAAAAAATAACATGCCATTTTCAGGGCCTTTTAAAAAAATACTTTGTTTCATAATAGCAATTTCAGGAAGACTTAAAGACTGGAGTATATTCTCAATTTCTCTTTTCCACAACACAGATGGCCAACCATCTACTGAGCACTAAAATATGTTTAGTTTAAAATATATATGAAATAAAGTCCTTATCTTTCATAGATTACCATCTCAATTGGGCAAACAATACAATTCT